GGATGCATCACGTGTTTTGAAAAAGCTATTGAACTTTATATGTAAAAAGTAAATAGTGTTTTATGAATATAGATGACTTATGTAACAGAAGTTGAGGTTACGAGACAGTGAGGCTATGCATAGTAACCTCTAGTCACAAGATATGATTAATGTAACAGAATGTTGTCAGAATGCTACATCATTTTAGGTATGACTAATATAACAGAATGCTGTCAGAATGCTACAACATTTTACGAATAGTTGAAAACATAATGCTAGCTAAATGCTACAGCATTTAGACGTATGAATGAAAAAAAATTGGCCTGACTTTTTTAAGAGGTTATAACTAGTAAATAGTAGAGGTTAAGTAATGTTAAGTATGAACATAGGATGATGATTAAAAATTAGGATCGTCACAATTTCCGCATCAATCATTCCCTTTGTTTCAATGGTCCCACAATGCAAATTATATAAACATCCTAACGAGACCCTTCTGATCCGCATCAACAATTCACTTAATATCAATCTTGCATATAATCATTAGCAAACCAATTGGCCGTCAAAAATGTTTCTGTGATTTTACTACTATTTTCGGTCGTTCTTGTTGCAGCTATAGCTGATGCTCGGATTAACCTTAACGAGATTTCTACTGAACATTCTTCATCTGCAGGTATAAATAATATATATATATATATGCGTGCACACATATATGTACTTCTGCTTCCCTCATTTATACTAATGATAATGATATACCTATATATCTATTATTTTAGGTTTTCGACAAAATTTCTGCTCTAGCTGTGAGTGCAAGACAGAATTTGGAACCACAAAATGTTATCGTACGGACGTGAAGGTGGGCGGATGCCCCTTAGTTTGCAAAGGAACTTGCATTTGTGTGCCAAGAAATTTCATTTTAAAAAATATTTTTAAAAATTGCCCATTATTTATGGCACACAAAACCACCACACATAGATGTCTTTCGAGCATGGTTTGGGTTCAAAAATGACATCAATACAGATTATAGAAAGGAACAATGGGCTTGAGCCTTAAGAAAGGCCTTGTGCAGAAACAAGTATCAACATAGTTACGGGTTAATTCTAAACATAGTTACTTAAGAGTAATGTTAAGGACATTAATTTAAACTGTGTATTAACTTATATGTTATGTGAGTTATTATCTTTTTATTAGTAATGTAATTTTTTTCATTAATTGACGTGATAATGTTTTAAACACCCACAAATAATAAACTGACAACTCACATGCTACATCAGTTGGCACATAAGAATTGAGATGAGTTAATAAACAAGATAATTATAGAGATGGATAAAAAGAAGGTAAACAAGAGAGTCAAACACCAAAAATAATATTACAATGACATTTTTTTTAAGGTTACGACACTGATATTTTACATTTATACTTTAGTTCAAAATTTTAGCTTATTCACGTACAAAAATTTTCTTGCTCGGTACTACATGGCATCTTTTACAATTGCTTAGCTAAACATCTCCATTTATATTTATCAGATGAAAAAAAAAATCTTTTGATAATTTCTTTTCTCCTTGATTCTCTCTATTTATTATTCTTCAAACCGAATTTTACTACATGGCATCTCATGGTTGAATTTGGAGCCTATATAAAGATCCTACTCCACATAAACAACACACTTGTACATAGCACTCACCTCTCTCTCTCGAGTTCGTTCTCTTGTTTTCTAAGTTTCTCTTGTGTTATCTTTTGTAAGGTCCGGGTTCTAGTTCGCCGGACGGTTCTGATAGTACTTCGAACTACCGTCGTTGTCGTTCTATCCTGGGAGACAGACGTCTAACGTTACCTCAAGCACTCGCCGGATGGGACGAATCTGTTTTAAGAAAAGCGTGGTTTACGTGCCTTGACGTCCTTACAATTTCGTTTTTTGAATTTGGTAGCAATGTTGAATTAGTGTTGTACAACTTCGTTATATTAATCTTACAAAAGTTGTTGTTCTTCTTTGTATTTTCTATATTTTTTGCTAACAATTAATGCCGGGGAGCTTCCCATTGGAGGTAATAACTAAACCAATTCACTTTAAAGCTTGCTTGATTTCCTTTATTCCTTCCTTTGTTTTTCTAGTTTTTATTTTTTTTTCGTTTCTTCTTCATATAAATTGATTAGAATTTGGACGTAATTGTTCTGAAATGATGGGGGAAAAAAAAAGGGAAAAGAAGACATGTATAGGCTGATAACGAGTGTGCCTGGCATGGAAAGCTTCTTAAGATGCCGTGACCTGCCTAGTTTCTGCCAAGTGAGCGACTTGAGTGACCCAGGAATCGATTCAGCTCGAGGGACCCGCCAAAGCTGTATAGCCTAAGGGCTTATTATTACGAGTAATCTTGATAAATACTCTTTAAAAGTGCATAGATTAAGATATCTTTTATTCTTGATTCATAACTTTTTTATTTAAATAGTTACACTAATAAAAAATATTTATTAAAAATATGAAGTAAAACTTCAGACTACTCAGTGTCTTCTTGTGGGTCATACGGCGAAACATGGTGACAGGAGAAGGCGGCGAAGGTGACGTCCCGGTGGAGCTTCTTGAGGCGACGAGGGAGAGAGGGTACATGGTGGGGTGGGTCCCCCAAGAGGAGGTGCTGGCCCACCAGGCTGTGGGTGGGTTTTTGAGTATAGTCGCTGGAGTTCCTATGATATGTTGGCCTTATTTCGTCTGATCAACTGATTAATAGCAGATTTTTTGGTGAAGTGTGGAAGCTTGGGATTGACGTGAAGAATGTTTGTGACAGGAAAGTTGTGGAAAATATGGTGAGTGATCTGATGGTGGAGAGGAGGGAGGAGTTTGTCAGATCCACGGCTGAGATGGCTAGGCTGGCTAGAAAGAGGGTGAGTGAAGGTGGGTCATCTTATTGTAACTTGGATCGGTTGATAGAGGATATAAGGCTCACATTTAACAACACCGGGAATTATAATTCAGGTCATGAGTAAGCTCTCTAGAATCTGCAAAATATCATCTTTAGAGCATGTTATAAAAAATTGATGCACGCAGCATCTAACACATAATGTGTCAAGTTCACCGTAGATGATCATGGAATTTCTGCACAATGAATATTTCTGAATAAAGAATCTATCTTGTATTTCTCAATAATATAATAGTTTGTTTTTATTAATTTTTGTACACTGTACTCTAAAGTTTATATTAAAAAAACGAAAAAGCTAAACAGTTGCGCGGTGCCGTTTCGTGGTGCCGTTCAGCTCCACTGAGATGTTTAAAAATGCTCTTAAAAAATATATACCCTATATTTTAAATTGTATCATATTTGTATTTCACATTTCAAATTCATATCACGTTAAATCCATGCCATACTCATCCTTACCTTTTTTTTATTATTATTTTCGCTTCATGGGTGATTTTGACTATCGAAAAATTAAGACAAATATGTAATATATACATATTTATACATATCCTTCATATTTTAGAATTTTTAATTTTTTTCTAATTTCCAAATGCAAGGTATGAGAGTAAAATACAATAATACCCCCAATATTGTTCCAACATATACTTAATTGTTTAAACATAAATCTTATAAAAATCTAACAATAAGATCATTGCCGAATTCTTCAACTACGTACCGTTGGATTTCTTACTGCTGTTTACGATGGAGGAAGATGCAAGATCGTGCATTATTTTTTTTTCTTTTCTTCGTCTTTGCTCATTGGATTTTACTGAGCGATCATGATTTTATGGAGACGTTTTCTCTCTTCTTCTCGAGAGTAGATCTTGCAATCCCATCTGCTCGCTGGCCATGCTTTTGTCGTCTATAATTAGTTGTTCAGAAAAGTTGAGAGATGCCTCTAAATTCTGATTGGTTTTTATCCCAATGAATAATTTAATTTTTTTTTCCCTTTTTGGGGAAGAATATTACAATGGTTAATATAATCAATATAAATCATGTAGCGCAGACTTGTGATAATATGATGGGCTTAGCAAGTTCAGGCATTGCCCTTGCTTGCAGTATCAATAAACATGCGGCACTGAGAAATATGTCCCACTAAATTGAAAGTTATCTCTTCATTGTTTAGATAAAACACAGGGTGTGTCAATTTGATTCTTCCTTTACAGATTTTTTTATTGATGCCTGCAGGGCAATAAAATTATTGATATCTGTCATTGGAAGTATAAAAAAATAAAAATAAAAACTAAAAAACTAAAAACAAAACTTGCGTAGCGCTGCCATCATGTGCCAAGATTGCCATTATGGGATCATGCACAACCTAATTCTTGAAGAATAATACATATTAGTTTTGTGGTAAATATTAAGTGGTAAAACAATAATACATATGGGATCAGTTACAATAATACATATTAAGTGGTAAATATTGAAGTAAATCTCAACCATGGGGAAGGCGAGAAGAAGAAGAAGAAGAAAAGCAAAAGAAGAAGAAGAAGAACCTTTGCTTGTCACAATTAGTTTTGTGAATTTGTTAATTGAACATATTTTATTAATAAAATCAAATATAAAACGCTCTTAATTGATTGTGGGTATGTTTGTTTAACCATATTAGAGCAATGTATTGTATAATAATACAATAATATAATGTTTTGTGTGACTATGATATTGTATAAACTAATACAGATAGTAAATTAATACAGTCTGCGTCGTATAATTGAATATGGCTCATTTTGAACGTATTGCATTGTATTACTTATAGTGGATCAATGATTCATGTCGGGGTTAGGCATGACTAGGGGTTGCGATCGGGCCGACATACGGTCATGCCGGAACCTATAATTGCCAAAAAAAAAAAATTTAAGGGCACAACGTAAATTTTATTTTATTAAAAATTATATTTTGACCCCAAAACTTTTACAAAATTACATTTTGATCCTAAAACTTTTGTAAAATTACACATACAAAAGGTCGTCGGATTATATATTCACTTGCTAAATAAAGCCCCGGATAAATTAAGTACTTCTTCATTTTGATTACATATTGGTTCACTACTTTCAGTAATTAGTTTTCTTGCAAATGGATCAGAAACAAAGGCCACAAGTAGAAGTCCCTACAACTCCAAGAGTTCTAATTTTCCCCTTGCCGGCGCAGGGACATGTCACCTCCATGCTCACACTCGCCGAGCTTCTCAGCCTCTGCGGCATCGACGTCACCTTCCTCAACACCGACCACGTCCATAACCGCCTTTTTCGTCACGCTGACATCGAAGCCCGGTTCGCCGACTACCCCGGGCTCCTATTCAGAACCATCTCCGATGGCCTGCCGGACGACCACCCGCGCTCAAATGACAGGTCAATAACAGAGGTACTTCATTCAATGATTGCGACAACCAAACCGGTGTTGAACGAGATGCTTGTTTCTGGTGCATTGGGATCGGTGACTTGCATTATAGCTGATGGAGCTTTTGCTGGCTTTGTTACTAATTCAGCCTGTGAACTTCACGTTCCCATAATCTATTATCAACCAGCTAGTGCTTGCTGCCTCTGGACCCTCTTATGTTTTGACGACATCATTAAAGCCGGGGAGCTTCCCATTAGAGGTATTAATTCTAAATCATAATTCACGTTAAAGCTTCGATGATTTCTTTTATATATTCCTTCCTTTGTTTTTCTAGTTTTTCCCTTTTTTCTTCTTTATAAAAGCTTGATTAGGATTTTGACGGACTTGTTATGAAAAAAAAAAAAAAAAAAGGAAAAGAAGACATGGATAGGATAATAACAAGCGTGCCTGGCATGAAAAGCTTCTTAAGGTGCCGTGACCTGCCTAGTTTTTGCCAAGTGAACGACACAAGCGCCACAAAAATCAATCCAGTCGCTCGTGCAATCCGTCAGAGCTGTAGTGCGCAAGGGATTATTCTCAACACCTTTGAAGAACTTGAAGGGCCTATAATCTCCCACATTATAAGAAGCTTCTGCCCTAATACCTACACCATCGGACCTCTCCATGCTCACCTCAAACACAAATTGGCCAAGAAGAACGTTTCAAAGTCTGACCAATCTTCCAACAGTATTTTTGAAGTCGACAGAAAGTGCATGGATTGGCTTGACTCTCAACCTCCCAAGTCTGTGATCTACGTCAGTTTTGGAAGCATTACAACCTTGACGAGAGACGCCCTACTGGAGTTTTGGCACGGCCTTGTGAACAGCAACGTGAGGTTCTTGTGGGTCGTGAGGCCGGACATGTTGACCGGAGAATGCGCCGGTGAGGTCCCGTCAGAGCTTCTGGAAGCGACGAGGGAGAGAGGGTACATGGTGAGGTGGGCCCCACAAGAGGAGGTGCTGTCCCACCGGGCTGTGGGTGGGTTTTTGACTCATAGTGGTTGGAATTCAACTCTGGAGAGTATAGTGGCTGGAGTTCCTATGATATGTTGGCCTTATTTTGCTGATCAACAGATTAATAGCAGATTTGTTGGTGAGGTGTGGAAGCTTGGGATTGATATGAAGGATGTTTGTGACCGGAAAATTGTTGAAAAGATGGTTATCGATCTGATAGTGGAGAGGAGGGAAGAATTCTTGAAATCAACGGCTAAGATGGCTAGGTTGGCAGGAGAAAGTGTATGCGAAGGTGGGTTATCGGATTCTAATTTTGATCGTCTGGTAGAGTACATAAGGCTGACCGCCAAGGAGAAATCAGCCAGATGACCCGTGACAAAAGATATAAATAACTCCCTCTCCTTTGTGCGTGCCCCTCTCAGATGGGTTGGGTTTTGGCGAGGTGGAGAATCGGGGTCGCTACCTTTTCAATCGTCCTTTTAGGGCGTCTCTTCTTTTCTAGCCTACTTGGTAGAGTTGATCGGCTTGTCTTTGATAGTTCTTTTTAGTTAAGATTTTGTTTTTATTTTCATTTTGTTGCAGATGGTTGTGTTGTGCGATGTTGTTTCTGCGTTCTAGGTTTCATGTTTTGTGGTTTTGTTTTTCACTTTAAGTACACGGTGATGTGTAAGATTTTTTATTCGTGTCTTGTTCGTATTTATGGATACTTCCAATATTAGGAAATTTAATGCAATAGTTTGTTAAAATAATAAACGGTAAATCCTATTAGTCAATTAGAGATATAAAAGTTTCTCAAAATTTACGGTTGTTTGATAGAAGAAGAAGATTTGACGATATCAGGAAACTGTTCTACTCTCTATCTATATATAAATTAATGTATTGACGAGTTCCATTGGTATGTATGTTAGAAAGAGGACGAGAGAAAGAAATACAGGCTTGTTCTTTTGAGTGAAAAATTCAAAAAAAATGTAACTCGAGTTACAATTTTATTCGAGTTCATGTTCTTTTAAGTTTAAACTCGAGTTTAAACTCGAGTTCAAACTCGAGTTTAGGACTAAAACTCGAGTTCAAGTTTCCTCTTCAACTCGAGTTCAGAAACTCGAACTCAAATTAATAAACAATATTTTTTCTATTCTTAAAAATGCTATAATTTTTTCGTGTTAATTCTAATTGAGATGATTTTTTTCTATGCGTTGACAACGAAAAGACGAATAAAACCCGACCCATATACCCAATTAAAATTTTTCATCAACATTGAGTTTTTATTAAAATACTATCTAAATATAAATTTAAGTTTTGACTCACTGAAAAATAAACTCAAAAAGATTCTTATCTCAAACCATAACTCAAATGTACACAACCAAACATAAACTCAAGTTACAAGTTCAACTCAAGTTATAACTCAAATTCAACTCAAAAATTATACTCAAATTAAACTCTAAAAGAACAAGCCCACGGTTTCAGTAAGTCTATTCCCATCAAGAAATTGATGTAGGTATCATGATACGCTCTCTTAATTTAATAATTTTGTTTTGTAAAAATCAGAAATCCCTAACATATGAGATCAGAGCCACGTTTAAAGCACTTATGAATAAGCACAAAACGGCAGTAAAAGGTGTATAAGTTTTGCTGTTGGTAATTCGACTATGTCTGCCTCTCTCCATTTATTGGTTGCTGATGGCTTATGTATAAGATTCTACTTTTATGGATGATAAATTTATTTTGTTCAATCTGGTGCACGCATAACGAATATATAAATAAAAGGTCCTTTGACTTTTCTTCTGCCTACATGTATCGAATATTATGTGACGAATCATGACTGTACATTGTTGACTTTATTATTTTATGATGAATTATGATTGTTGTTGCTGTTGTTATTATTATTATTATTATTATTATTATTATTATCATCTATATTAACGAATACTGATGTCATGATAATGCTTGTTTCATCAAAATTGTGCTTTTCTATATGCTTGAGTGCTTTACGCACATTATGATGTATATAAGATATATTATTATATGAATGTATGTTACACATTGTATATACAAAGCGCATTAATATATTCTACTTTTTATGTTTGCCTTTATTAGGAATACAGTTTTATGGTGCAATTTTAAATAAATAATTAGTGCTACATATTCATATATATAAAAAAGACGGTAAAGTTTCTGGTCAATTATCATATTATGATCTGAAATTTGATATTTATATACAATTTGAATAAATCTATATGAACGGTAGGTAGTAACCATAGTGGTTATATTTGTCAAATTGTGTGATATTATTTTTCAATTACTCGTGATTCTTATGATCATGAAATGACAAGATATAATATATATTTTTTAATTGTTGTGGGTGTATAATATATATATTTAGGATCGCCCAAAAGTTGACCACTACAATTAAAATATATGAACATAGATTATAATATATATATATATATATTTAGGATCGCCCAAAAGTTGACCACTTATTTTATAATAGAAGGCAACCACTTAAATTTATAGAAGGCAACCACCGACGTGCCAGTGCACATACGAGGTGGACACATGCGACCCTCCAACATGCGACTCTCTTACTACTAATTACATGTTGAGGGCTGAGAATCTTCACTTCATGAAGGAAAACTAAATATATACATATATAGGCTTGAATAATGAGAGCTTGCCCCCCATATATTGCCTCAATTACTAATGTTGAGTCTTTTAAATAAGTGTAAGCTTATCCTTTAATAATGATGAAACTATATATAAACATGTGTTCGTCAATTTAGCCATATACTCTCTACTTCTATTTTATTTTAGAGTATGTATGTGATGTATACATATTTATGTGTATATATATATGTATGTATATATAGAGGCACTCGCATTACGATCGGACATGTAAAACATAGAACGATACATATGCTTAGTGGTTCAACATAGATAGTTTGGACTTATTACCAAGTGATCACTAAAACACTTGTGGTAAGTAATGCTTGCCCTGCCCTGAACCACTGTGACGTTGAGGGTTTTTAAAAAAGCGTAAATTTATCCTTAAAAAATGATGAAGTTAAAAGTATTTTGATACGCCTTTTAATTAATCAAGTATTTGTAGGGATGGCAATTCGTGTTAACGGGTCGTGTTCGTGTCATGTTGAACCCCTCAGTTGACACGAATAGGTCTGATATGAACACAACCCATTTATTAATTGTGTCAAAATACAAAACCCAAACACGACCTGTTTATTAGCGGGTTGACACGACATGACACGATTAACCTATTTATTAAATAGGTCGTAAACCTGTCGTGTCAACCCGTTGATTACCTGTGAACAAGTTTATGAAACAAGTTGTAAACGTGTCGTGTCAATCCGTTAATTACCTGCCAACACGTTTATGAAACACGTGATTAATAGGTCGTGTTAACCTATTTTTGAACCTATTTCAGAACCTATTTCTGAACATGATTCTCAACCTCTTTAACATGATGTAGAGACATTACATAATCTAAGTTCAAAATTAAAACAAACACATGAAGGTCTCTCACAAATTAAAAAACAAACACATAAAAGTCTCACAAATTAGAAAATAAACATACATGATTAATAATTAAACATTTAAATAATTTGTTGCAGTGGGGGGACTCTAAGTATATCATTACGTTCAGCCTTCACCTCTTCATTAAAATTTACACGAAAACAAATATATATAGATACAAGTTAGTTCAAAATCAATATAGGAAATATACATAATTTAAATAAGTTTGAAACCACCTTTGTCTCCATATAACCAATCTCTGGTACAAACAAGTGCTTCAACTGTCTTCGGTTTAAGTGAGCTACGAAATGAATCAAGAACTCTACCACCAACACTAAATGTAGTTTCAGAAGCAACTGTTGAAACAGGGACAGTCAATATATCACAAGCCAGCTAGTGCTGGATATCGAAATTGGTTTGATTTCCAAAAGGAAAGGATATCAAGCTCTGCGGTCCTAGCCAGTCTTGGCTCATCTAAATAAAGATCAAGCTCTGATTTCTGTGATGCGGTAGTAGACTCAACTGAAGACATCCAAATAAAGGTCATTATGAATGCAATGAAAAGGGCATATTCCAATTTCTCACCTCCTTTTTCCTTCCTTATAATTGCCAATACAACTATTTTACCTTTTTGTTTCTCTTTTTTTCTTTTTATGTGTGTAATAAATAGATTGGTACTTTTGGCTTCCTCTATATTCTGGCGCTTGTATTGTTAATCTTCTGAAATGTATCATCTCCTCCAAACCAATCAAGAATCTCGCCGAGGCTACGTTGTTCCTCGGAAATTTTCTGTTCATCAAGGTTGTTGTGGAAGATTTTAGGAATGGAATATCTGGTTTCTAGTCATTGAATTTGAGTGAAAGAGTTACAAGGGAGAAAATTAGAAGTGGGTTGGTAATAATCTCAATGGCTTTACAGTTATTGATATCAAATTCTCCACATGTTTCCGTTATCAAGCACAGAAATAAGTTTCCAAGATACGTTGATTATGGTGAGATCTTGGGACTAGTAAAAAAAAATTTTCCTTGTGTTCTTTTATGTTCATTTTTGGTTAAAGGTTCAGAATCTTTTGAGTAATTTGGTTTTCAATTGTTTGTTATTTGATTAAAAGAGGATAGTTTTGTTGTTTTAATATGAATGGCCATCTTAATAGGTTTCAGTTATGGGCTTCCCTCCACCGCTTCTCATTATCATTATAGATTGCCAAACAAACCAGATAAGTTGTAATGGGTAGTTATTTACGGCCAAGGAAATCTAGAAAAAAAC